CTGGTTCCGAGAAACATCTACAATGTCCACTCCGCCCTCCGCTGTCTGTTGCACCAAACCCCTTCCCCCCTGACCCTGTCGGGCGGTCTCCTTCCACTCCACCCACCCACCCACCCACTCCACCCACCATCCTACCCACCCACCCAACATATCCCCCCAACATCCCCATACCAGCCTGCCTAGTCCCCTTTCACCTAGCCCCGCTCGCAAGGTTTCAGGGTCCGCACCGCCCCATCCCGTCCAATCCAGCCCCATCCAGCCCCATTCCACCCCATCCAGCCCCATCCAAGCCCCATCCAGCCCCCATCCAGCCCCAATCCAGCCCCATCAGCCCCATCCAGCCCCATCAGCCCCATCCAGCCCCATCCCACCCCATGCCACCCCATCCAGCCCCACCCCCCCCATCTCGCCCCATCCCACCCCATTCCCGCCTCTCCTGCCCCATGCCGCTCCATCCTGCTCATGCCACCCCAATGCCGCCCCATCTCTTTTTCCGCGTTCCCGCGTGTGACCGCACCACCCCTCACCCCCTCCTCCCTCCTCCTCCAGCTCCGCTTTCCACAACACCTCCCCGTTCCGTCTCCCCTTTCCGCGTCCTCCCCTCGCCCCCAGCCGCCCCGAACGGCCATGTTTCCACGTCGCGTTTGTGCGGCGCGAGCGGAGCGGGAGGCGCGGGCAGGGCGCGCGCACAATGGGATGCGTCGGGCGGAAAGACGTCACTCTCCGTATCGGCCCCACGTTCGCGGCCGCGTCCGGTCAGCGGGCAGGCGCCGTCTTGTGAAACGTCTCCGAGGAGACATTTGCAACTTCTATTCGAAGCTCTCGCGCAAGAAACTGCATTCGTCCGATCAAACTTCTGAAAGTGGCCACTATTGAGCTGCAGTGATCGCATAAAATTTTTCGAGTGTGTAGGTAGAATTACTAGACATGGCACCTTCCAAGTGCCGGGTGTTATTTATATGAATGCAGTTTTTATTTCTGTTACTGGGGGAACTCCTGTTTACTCGCTCTAAACATTAAAATAATTAAATTATAATATGTGCTAAACTAAAAAATTCGTCTTGCAAAATGAAATCCTTACATTACTACAATCTTACTAAAAGTTTAGACATGATTTCTCTTTAAATCTGTAAATTTTCTAAAAATGATTATATCATTTAAAGAACTTCACAAATACTCAAAATTTAAATGTTAATGTAAATCATCATTTATCGTAGAAGTTCCTTCAGAATTCATTTTTTTAGAATTATGTTTTCGACCATTTTTCTTAGAACTAAATTTTAAACTGAAAGAAATATCCCAAACGTTTAGTTTTTGAAAGAAGTTTCAATAATTTCCTCTACTGTTATTGAAGCAAACTCGCGCATAGAGAAATTAATACCTGTATCATCATCATATTTATTATATTATTATTATTATTATTATTATTATTATATTATTATTATATTATTATTATATTAATATTAGACGTGTTATGATTGTGTAGCCATATGTAATAAACAAGTCAGATTCAAAATAACATGTTCAGTTGAACATTGATATGACCTCTTGGAGCATAATTGTCTATTGAAATTCGAAAATAATCTTCATTATGAATAAAAACAACAGATCCAGTCATTACCTGATCGTTTAAAATGATTTCCAAAAGTATAGTGATGAAGAAAAGGATGTCTTATCGTCAACCAAAAAATCGAATAAGCATTGTCGGTTGAACATAAACAAACACTATCTATATATATATAAGAAAATCGTGTTAGTTACTCCACTTATAACTTCATAGAACGGCTGAACCGATTCAGCTAAAATGGGCAGGAGGTAGTTTAAGCCAGAGAAGACATAATACTTTTATCCCGTTCTGACAAGCCATTTCCGCATGACTTGACATGAAACGTCAGTCACTAAAAACGTGGTATAAACAAAAAAGAATCAGACTGAATAACAAAACGCAAATGACAGCTATGTAATTACGTATAATGACAATAGTAATGACGTTGATGACAATTTATATTGAAGAAAAATATAAAAAAAATAAATAAATATATAAAAAAAACGCATAAACGTCATTAGAAGCACTTAAACCAACCATTAAAAAGATTTACGCAATGACTCGAGATGTTGGAGGAGCCAATGATCTTTAACTGGCGAATTCCGCCAAATACTCTCAGTAATTCCAAGATCTACGACTGGCCGACAAATAAACGCTTGCCTCAAAATCGGTCAAATCTATTGCGCGATGGAAGAAACTGCAACTGACAACAAAACATGAGAGTTCATTGCTTAATGGATATCTGCTGAAGATTTCTCGGAGCAATTGCTGCACTAATCGTTAATGCGTCAATACCTTCATGAATCGAAACGATTAATATCATTTCCAAATAATTTCTTTAATTTTCTTCATCAACAGACAACTTATCAACAATGTATTCCAAGAAATTATTTCTTAACTACAAAAATAATGCAATGGTTGAGCTGAGCGAGCAATGTTAGCGCTAAGAATAAAAGATGTAGAGACCTAAACACATAAAATCAAAATAAGATCATTGAACAATGCATTCATCAAATCTATTGACTGCTCACAAATGAAGATGAAGCCACCAACCCTATCAATTGAATTTTTAACTCTTTACGTGCCTGTCTTACCACCGCACAATTTACGCCTAAAGGTTGGCTCCTAGTAATCCATGCTTCGAAACATAAGACCAACCAAAAAACTGTGCAACGACGCGTTTGGTGGTTAGAAAATGATGAAACAATGTAATTACGCACATAATTGATAGAAAATTCAAAGGTGAGGAAGTTCTCATTCCGAGGATACCGATGATCCCAACCTAATAGTCGTTTGAATTTAAAAGACTTCAATTTTTCCGATTTACGTCTGCATTTGCCCATGACCATCAACAAATCACAAGCCAATCCTAAAAGTTGTGCGTTTTAAAATCTAGACATTCATGTTTTTCTCATGCAATTATACGTGCATGTTCACGGAGTCGGAAGACCCTCTGCGTTGTTTGTTTTTGCCGCCTGATACATAAAACAAAAAATGTCATGTATCACCAAGTACTAAATGAAGTGCCAAACCTATGTACTAAAATACAGAAATTAATATGAATATTTAATGAGGTATTTAATTTTTTTGTATTTTTTCAATAAAAAAACTGCTTATTTATTGCTATTAATGTGGAACAAATTCGCCGGTTCAGCTAGTATTAAATAAAAACACTACACACATGGAATAGATCATTCGGCAGCCTAGAAGCTTGTCCCGGCTGGGGCTGTGCCGCTTTGGGAGATACCTGATGGGGAAAAACTTTTGCAACAGACGTGCTAGGTCGGCGCGTATTTGGATTCTCCAGCTGATAAAAACACTCCACTATACTTACGAAGACGAATGAGGGGTAGCTTTGACTGCGCGCAGAATATGAAATACTCTATTCTATGTTCAGGGACAGTGTCGATGCCCTTCTACACGCGTGTACGTTGCTCATGGGCTACTGGACCTGCGGCCCTCTGCTGTGCACCTGTGCTTGCTCGTGGACTACACCGTCGTGCCTGTGTCGCAGTACACCGTTGCTGCTCATCACCATCGACCGCTCCACTTCGTTCGGATTGAAGATCCCGCCAAGTACGCGGCTGCGCGAACGAAGCAGCGCGTCATTTGATGGTAAGCACTCACTCTAACTCTCAGGGCCGGCATTTTAAAATCATTTGGATTAAAGCACTCACTCTAACTCTCAGGGAGCCGATATTTAAAATAGTCATTTGGATGGTATGCACTCAGTCAGGGCCGGCCATTTAAAAGTCATTTGGATTTATGGAAGATTGTATTTGAGTTTTTTACAGTTATTTCTAAAGTTATAATATTTGGCCCTTGATGAGGAATGCTTTCCATCGGATATACACATGTGTTCACTCTGAGCTTCCATGTAGAATGCGGGGCCGTAAACGGTTGCTTAAACATTGACTTTCTCGTTCTTGATGGCTAGTCTTGGAAGACACTTATAAAATTCTGGTACCTTGTACGTTTAACTTCAATTTTTTGCTAAAAATTAACCGTGATCAATTTACTTTAGTTTTTCATTTATTTTTACCCATTTCTAAACCTTTTACATTCGAAAACCTTGTTTATAAATCCACAAAATGTAAGCTTTACGATAAAATTATTTATACCAATAATTTTGGCCAATAATTTTAAAATAGAAATAACATTTTAAATTAATTAAGTATGCATGCAAAATTATTTGATTAATTGATTGCAGAAAATGTGATTAAAAATATTCGGTGCCCAGGTTTGGTACTTTCCTCTATTATTATTATTAATTATTATTATATTATTATTATATTATTATTATTATTATTATTATTTATAGTTCTTGCTGTCGACTCCCCTCTTCTGTATTCAGTTAATGAATTTTAATAACGATTAATTTGTTTTCTTTGTTTGTGTAATTGAATCGTTTATGGTTATTATGCGAAAGAAAGATCCTGGAAAGTGTGTTATTTGTTATTGACGACTTGCATTCTGCGTTGAAAGATTGAAAAGAGATGTTTATCTTAAATTCGAGCAAATACTTGTATACTTTAAAAACTGCACGTTATTGCAAAGAGCATCAATGTACGCATCAGAAGATGCAATTAAGAAAAAAGATTTTGAAATTAGTGAAGAAAAGAATACGTGGTATAAGACAAGCACTGAGACAGTTCAACGTTCCTCTCTTTTCCTCTAATCTATACTATAAGTAGTCTGCTCTTAAAGTTTTTGTGTTGCATATTCCTAACGATAATAGAGCTAGTTATTTTTCATGGCAAATGTTTGAAAACTGTTTTTAGATTACTCCAAAGAGATGGTAATGTTTGTTCTTAAAATTACAAACCATTGAAAATGAAATTTAATTCATACAACTTTATCTTTTACAAACAAAATAAGTTCAATTTCACAATCTTAAGACACGGTAGAGTGAGCCCACTATAAAATATTGCTATCGCAAAAACGTGATACCAAGGTTTGAAAAACTAAACCACGACCAGAAAACCAGCAATGAAGCTTTACACCCAGAAATTTCAGCGATGTTATATCCAAGTGTACCAACTTTGCTTCCGACGTTTTCAATAGTGGCTACAGTGTAAGTAACGGTCGCGATAAACAGATCGCAGACGTCAGCAGGTAGCTGTGAGCTTCGTCAACATAAACCCATTCAAACATTAGTGGATTTGTGTTGCAACGTAACGTTGTCGCGATTGAAAATGTCAGCTGTACGAGCGAATTCTCTCATTTGCGGGAGGCTCTGTTTTTTGTTTCAATATGAAGAAAACTGCGACTGAGTCTCATCGAAATTTGCTCTCCATACGTATGTGAGACTGATGGGAGAGAACGTTCCCCGATGGTTTCAACGCTTCAGGAAATGGTGACTTTAACGTGGAAGACCGCATAGTGGCGGTAAGTGAAAGTTTTTTGAGATGGCAGAATTGGAGCATTGCTTGAGGGAAGACTCCGTCAAACTCAAGAAGAACTGACACGATCATTGGGGGTACACAGTAAGCCATTTCAAACGTTTAAAGCCATGGTATGATCAAAAGAGAAACTTGGGTCCCATATGATGAAACCGAGAGACATTGAAAGCTTTTGTGTGCTTGTGAAACAGTTGCTCAGAGCAAAAACGGAATTGGTTTCTGCCATCGTGTTCTGAACCGGGACGAAAATGGGTTCATTACTGATAAACCCGTAAACGGAAAAAAATCATGGGGTTATCCCAGCCATTGCTTCCACGTCGACGGCCAAACCGAACATTCATGGGCTAAGATCATGCTCTGCTTGGTGACCAGCTCGGCGTCGCTGCTACCACGAGCTTTTAAAACCAAGTGAAAAATCAACAGGTGCATAAATATCAACGCAATTAATGCGTTTGAGTCGGGAGCATTGTGAAAGACAAACGCCCGCAATACAGCGAGAGCACGATAAGGTGATTTTGCTGCATGTGACAAATGCTAGGCCCCACGTTGAGAGAGTGGTCAAAACATACCTGGAACGTTGAAATGGACGTCCTACCCCACCCGCCGTATTCTCTAGACGTGCTCCTCCTGATTATCCAACCATGTTTCATCAATGGCTCACGACGGCGCTGAGCTACACTTCCGATTCTTTTGAGATGTCAAAAAGTGGATTGATTCGTGGATCGCGCCAAAGATGAACAAATTTTTCGACCGGCATTCGCACACTGCCGACAGATGGGAAAAATTGTGGCCAGCGATGACATTACTTTGAATAATATCTGTGTAAGCATTTTGTTTCAATAAAGGTCATATTTTTGAGAAAAAAACGGCGGAAGCAAAGTTGTATACCTTGTCTTTTTGAGCAAAAATCATTAATTACCGTGTATTGCCAAATTAATATTCCAGTCCAGATACGCACGTCCTATGTAACTTTATAAAGAGAGTATGTGGAGAGAAGAAGCTAGGCATAATATTGTACGTCTCTAACGAATAGGATATGGAAACTAACACTACTATCAAATTTCAAGTAACATAAACCCCTGGCAAAGCTAACATTTTACTTTTAAAAAACTTACATGAATTACTTAAAGAATTATTAATTTACCACTTTTAATGATAAAAGCTCTGAGGTCGGAAAGATAGATAAAAGTTTCATGCTAGTGGGTCCATTTTCCCCCCTTGCAAAATGGAGGCCGCCTTCTGCCAGAAACACAGCGGACAAGAGTCTCCACGGATGTTCTAGGGGAGGTTCTAGGCGAAGAAAGCTGGTGCTTGGCAGGGTGCCCGGTCTCCCAGCGCGTGAAGCCAGGGAAAGTCGCTGCGCCAGCGACGCAGCTCAGTTGAACAGGAACCCGAACCAGCTCAATCGGCTGCACTCGTCGACAAGACACCAATCACAAGGGAAAATTAGACTTTTCCGGTTTGTAGCCTTTGTCTAACGGAGACTGGTCCGTACGTTTCCCCTGCAACTGCTTACAGGCATCATCACTGGATGAATTGTAGGCTTCACCAACTTGTCGTGGTCCCTCAGGGCTGGCTATGCGAAGACACGAAAAGGTGGTCAATCTCGCAGCACAGCGTTCGACGCCGTACAGCCGGACACCAAATCCACGCACACATGACTCTGGCCGCGGAAAGCCTACGCCGTTCATTTCACTACCCTTACGGGGAGCGAATTTTACAAATCCGCCAAAACTTTCGCATACCCGCCCTGAGGAAGACCACAAACAAGTTCGTCAAACTCGACAACAGCCTTCGACGCGCGACACCCAGAACCCCCCCTCCCCCCAGGGCAAATTACCACTAATGGTGCCTGCCCACATCCAGCGAAAACGTAGGACAGCTCCGTTACCACCATGCTCACAAATCCTGAAACGTCTAATTATGTAGAAACCGCCGTGTAATCCTACATCGTATGTTATCACAAGGAAAATGTTTGAAAAGTTAGAAATTCTATCAATTATTAGGAGCGAGAGAATGTGTCATAATTTATTTTTTAGTAAGCATAGAGCGAATCAATATGTAGATGAGAGTAAAATCACAAAGAAACCCAAACTTTAATAGCAGTTCTTTAAGATTACTAATTACCACTGAACATTCCAAACCAATGATGGACACGGCAACGATGAGCCCGGTGTATAATTTTCCCGTCCTTCTTCCGTTTATTTAGACAAAAAAAATTAACTATTTCATACTTTAGACGTTCATTATCAGAAGCTTTATAAACCTGAGTTTCGTCTTTCAAACCTTATCAATATTTTTATAAAAAATCAAAAACCCAGTCCCATGTGTAACTTTTTCCATATAAACTCTGTGTTTCAGTACTCCCTAAACAATCAGAACATTGTTTTAGTATATTTGTTCTGTATACATCGTATAATTGGTGCAACGTCTATGAATATTGAACTCTTCTTTAAAGAAAAAACGACGTGCCATAGCCCATAATCGCGGAAAAGGACGCCTTGAGAACAGAAAAACTTTAAAAAATATTGTATTCTTTACCACCGCTTAAAGAACGTAAAATATTTTAACTCAAACATTCAGAATAATTTTTATATCACTTAACACATTTTGATTAGTTTATACAATTTCCAATATACAAATTGTCTTCTATTACATACAATTTTACTCTGAGGTCAGTCACTGAACCCCTCATTTAACACCCCTTATCATGTTCTTCGGATATCAGATGCATTGGTAAGGGTAAGCAACTGTTAAGGATATCAATTGACCAGTAAAGTAAATTGAAGTCTTAATTTACTAATTACGACTACATTTAGAGATGAATATTCCGTTACATATACTCGTTACCAATACTAATTAAAGTATCAGATACGCATCTAGTATAAGATTATGCATTTCGTAAGACTGTAGCGGGCGTAACGAATCTGCAATCTTGCAGCTATATTCGATGCTTAACGAAGCTGTTTTGTTTTTTCATTTTTTAAGAAAGCCGCGTGCTCTCAAGCACCGCTCAAAGTAACAAGAATTGAGAATCTTCAAGAGGATATCAAACTAAGACCTCAGGTAAAGTCGTGATATGACATCCTACAGCATTAAGTATCACATACATTTTTTTAATGGAAAAAACGTTGCGACCATATCCCACTGTAAAGAAATATTCCTAACAACTTGACCCAGTCGAGATGTAGGGCTAAAGAAAGTGCGAAATAATAAAGAAAGTACATCCTATAACTAATGCACAAAACATCCTCTCTAAATCAAAGTCAAGTGCAAACACGTGCATTAAGTTAAGATATTTCAAGCAGTGTCCAAAAATTCCGGTTGTTTGTTGTCTTATTGAAGAATCCTCATGCTCTTCCCCGGGCGTCGCGTTGCAGATGAGCATACGTGGTTGATCCCCGCCCTTCTGTTCTTCATCTCCATCTTCGGCTTGGGAGCACTTCTGGGCTACCGCGACCTGCTTCCCGCCAGCGCCGTGCAGTTCCTCAAGGACCCGGTCTTCAACACGGCGCTTCATCATCGGCTACTACTGGACCCACGCTGTGGTGCTCTTCGTGCTGTACGGCCATCTACCAAAACGGCCTACACATGCAGAAGAAAGGCAAGCAGCAGGCAAGATGCAGAGCTGTGAGTGGCGCCACGTTGCTCCACTCGTCACCGCCCATCGAATCCTCCCGTCCTTCCACCCACCTGTCATCCTGCCAATTCTATCCATCCATCATCCATCTATTCATCCGCTCCATCTATTCACCCATCCATGTATTCATCCGACCATCTATTCATCCATTCTATTCCATCCCTCCATGGATTCATCCGTTTAATCTCATTCATTCCGATCATCCATTCATCAATCATCAATTCATCAATTCATCAATTCATCAATTCAATCAAATTCAATCAATTCATCAATTCATCAATTCATCAATCTATCAATTCATCCATTCATCCATTCATCCATTATCC